CATCTAGTATATAATATTGGTGTCATCTAGTATACATAATATATATTAATATATACATATATGTATATATGTACATATACTTCAAAATATATATAATATATATGTACATATATATATTAGTATATATATGTATATATAAATATAGATGCATATTTATAATATTAGTGTCATCTCAATAATGATATTGTTTCCATTTTGGAGGTCAGTTTTGAAGTATTTGAGGCAGAGAACATTTTATTACAAAAATAAATATAAAGACTTTTAGAAAACCTTTTTAGAGCCACTCATATCTCAATAGTATCTCATTGTGGTTGACTTTTTTTTTCTTTTTGGTACCAGGGATTGAACCCAGAGGCACTTAACCATTGACCTATATCCCTGTCCTTTTTATTTTTTTATTTTGAGACAGGGTCTCACTAAGTTGCTGAGGCTGGCTTTGAACTTGAGATCCTCCTGCCTCAGCCTCCCAAGTCACTGGGATTACAGGCTTCATAGTGCCTGGCTCATGATTGAGCTTTGATCTTCACTGAGATATAATGAGAAACCTTTGAAAAATCAAAAAATTCTTTCATGCCCCTGGAGAATTTGACTCACCCCAAAAACTGCATATTTGGCACTGAGAAATTCATTTTATGCTCCCTGCGGCATCATGATTCAAATCTGTGACTTGGAAATATTACAAGTTATAACTTACCATGGATCCTTCTAATCTTTACATGAACTCAAAACATGAATATTTTCTGCAAATACCAGGAGTTGCACTATTTTCAATGATTTCTGTGTTTGTCTTTCTAGGTTCTACATGTGCCTGTGTGGATGTGTTTTTAGATAGTTATAATCATGATACCTGTATGATTTGGGCAGTCTTGTATTGTGCTTTTTCCCTTTAAATAGTCTCATCCACATTTGTCCGGGGGGCTGCAAAGTCTAAAAACCCATTTTAATGACTGCCCAGCTGTCCATGGAGTTGTTACACCATCATTTACTTTATCATTCCTCCTCACTAGGTGTTTACTAAGAGTCCTTTAGATGGTTGCTTTGAAAGAGGCATGTGGAAGGTGAGCACCAAATATGTCCCACCTTCAACCTTTTATTTGTTCCCCACTATACACACACACACACACACACACACACACACACACACCTAACAAGAAAGAGCCCTAACAGTTTCAAGGATCAATCCAGAGAACAAAGAGAATGAGAGAAGGAGATGAGGATCCACTTTCTAACTGCAGACCTGTGATTCCCTAACAAAGTGCTAAACCCACAGATTATATGGACCCAGAACTGGGGATGAAGGATTGTAAAGGCAAATATTTCCTGTTATTTTCTGTCCCTGCACCTTTCCCCACCACCTCCTCCAAAGACATCAAAACAGGACAGAAGGAGAGCAGTGGGTTTAAAAACTTGTAAGTCAATCTTTGTTGATGTACTAAAAAGCCACCAAAGAAGCATGGCTGCATGTTGAGACCATGGACTCAGGGTTTGAATCTTGACTCTTGCCCTTACTAGTTCAAGGTTTAGGGCAAGTTGCTTAACCACTCTGTATCGTGCTGCTGCATTTGTAACATGAAAGAAAGTAATGAGACCTGTCTCTCAGATCCTTTGTAAGAAATTCCTAGAGAAAACAAAAGTAAAGTGGGAGGGCTTCCAAAGTCATAGGAGATGGGCAGGCTCTTCAGACTACTAAACAGGTCAGACTCCTATGAAAGGAGAGAAGGAAGGATCTAGAATTGAGTAAGAACAGTTCTGACTGCAGTGCAGCCCAGGGAGAGGAAGTCTGGCCAATGGAAAGTCCCCAAGCAAAGACTGCCTCAGGGGAATCTCAGGTGGGCAGGAATGGCCCATCCCAGCCCTGCACAGTGACCAGTCATTGAGCAGCTTAAGGTTGATACCAAATACCCTCCCTTCAGCAGATTCACCTGTGAGCTTCACTTTTCCAATGGCTGCCATGACTTTAGGCTGCTAATTGCTCTAGACAGAACATGGTACATAGGAAGCACTATGAAAGCTGCAACTGCTGCCATTATTTCATAGTATGTGTTATAATTCACAAAGCTCTTTGGTGTTATTTTACTCAATCATCACAACCATCCTCTGCAGCTAGTATTTCATCCCTACTTGGCAGATGAGAAGGAGGCTCAAAGAGGTCACATGCTTTGCCCAAAGTCTCACAGCTTGTGGATGGTAAGGTGAAACTCTACACTAAGCCCCTTGAGGGTAGTAAGGTGTCATCCTTATCTTTGCATCCTGCAGTAGCTGCTCAGATAGAGAGGAAGATAAAACAACTCCTGTCCTCCTGTCCTGGACTCTTATTTTTGGTGATCCAAATACAAAAATAGGTAATTTCAGAAGACCATAATTCATGGAATTACTTCACATTCCCCAAACACACCAGGTACTTTCTTTATTCTTATGCTCCAGCCCCCAACCTTTCTTTGTGCCAACATCTCTGCCTAGAGGGCCCAGCCCACCTGCTGAAACCTGCCAGTCTTTCAGGGCCTGACAATTTTCTCTGTAACACAACCCCACATCCAACAGCCAAGGAAAATTACCGCACTCCTCTGTGCTTCCATGTGCCTCACTTTGTTCCAAACACTGTCTCCCTACCCTGCAGTAGAGTTAGTTTACCTGCAATAGACTGAGCACCCTGAAGGCAGCAACCATTTCTCACTCACCTCCAAACCCCTCTGGGGGCCCCTCATCAGCAGTAGTAGAAGATCAATAAGTGTGTCATCTTTATTATATGAAGTTGCAAACATTTTAATGAAGTTCTTTGTTTAGTTTTGAACTTTGTATTTTGAAATAATGTGGATTAACATGCTGTTTCAGCATGTGAATAAAAGAATAAGAGAGATCCTGTATACCCTTTATCCAGTTCTCCCAATATTAACATCTTACATAGCTCTGTACAATATCACCACCAGGAAATTGACCTTGACACAATCTATAGACTTTATTCAGATCTCACCAGTTTTACATTCGTGTATGTGTGTGTGTGTGTGTGTGTGTGTGTGTGTTTAGTTCCATGTAGTTTTGTGACATGTGTAGATTCCTGCACCATCACAGCAGTATATATACAGAGCAGATCCTCGCAGGGATATTTCATGCTGTCCTTCTATAACCAAGCCCACATTCCTTCCTTTCTCTCCCCAACCTCTGAAACTACTGACCTATTCTCCATCTCTATAAGTTTGTCATTTCAAGAATGTTCTATAGATGGAGTTTTGTAGGATGTAGCCTTTTGGAATTAGCTTTCTTTCACACACATGATTCTCTTGAGATTAGTGCAGGTGTTGTTATGTATCGGTAGTTTGTTCCAATAATTTTATGAGTAGTATATTCTATAAAATGTATGTGCCAATTTGTTTAACCATTCACCTTTAAAGGACATTTAAGATTGTTTTTCCAGATTTTTGGCTCTTACATATAAAACTTCTATAAAAATCCAAATAAATAAATAAAACATACCATGCATGAATGAGTTTCCAATTCGTAGGGGATAGAAAAGGTGAAAACTCCAGTGGGAGAGGTCATTCAGACCAGTGTAGACACAGCAAATGACCCAACAGCATGTGACTGCTTTGACGGCAAGAACTGCAAATGGCAGAGTGGTCACAGGCTAGGGCTTAAGGTGAGCATCTTTCTTGAGTTGACATTTCTGGTTGTATCATTCTATATTTGTATTCCATGTGTGAGGCATGTGGTAGGTAAGATTTCATTGAAGGAAGGAATGAATAAATGAATGAATCAATAAATCAATGATTTTCTAAGTCCAATCAGGAGCTTTGGATGAGGCCCAAAACTTCAATACAAGACGCTGCCTAAAGTCAGCTACAATGATTCTCAACTAGTAGCAGTTTCACCTCCAAGAAGACCTTTGGCAATTTCTGAAGACATATTTCATTGTCATGACTGGGGATGCTGCTGGCTTCTACTGGCTAGAAGCCAAAGATATTGGTCAATCAGCCCTTGTACTAAAGAATTATCCAAGCCTGGGGCTGGGGTGGTAGAGTACTCGCTTTGCACATGTGAGGCCACATAAAAATAAATAAATAAAATAAAGGTATTGTATCTAACTACAACTAAAAAATAAATATTTTTTTAAAAAAGAATTATCCAAGCCAAGATGCCAATAGTGGTACTGTTGAGAAATCCTGAAATAAACCCAGAGCCTACAGTCAGGGTTAGAGGACTGTGTCTGAGAGGTTGCCTTGTTCAAAGCATCGTTTGTTCCTAAAGTGGGGACCATTTGGGAGTCCACCTTCTGTCAGTGGCTTGGCCTGCAGGCCCTTCCAGAATTGACCCCTTGGTGTGGGTGGAAGGATTCTCTCTTCTCCTTCCACCTACTTTCTCCTTCCTACTCAACTTAAACACTTATTTTAAAAACAATAATAACTCAGTGAGACACTGTCTCTAAATAAAATACAAAAAAGGCCTGGGGATGGAGCTCAGTTGTTGCCCCTGAGTTCAATCTCCAGTACCATCCCCCCAAAAGAACCAATAATAATAATAATAATAATAATAGTAAATCAGGAACAGTGGGAGCAAGTAAGTAAATGAGTGCTGTCTGTTCCAGGAGCTGCTCAGAGACCCTCTTTACATCGGCCTGAAACACCAACGTGTGCGTGGGAAGGAGTACGATGACTTGCTGGATGAGTTCATGCAGGCTGTGACAGATAAGTAAGTGGGCCAAGCTGTCTTTTTTGAAGGAGGGCTCTTTTTTTAAAAAAAATTATTTATTTATTTTAGTTAGGTTTATATGATGGCAGAATGCATTTTGATTCATGTACCCAGTTGCAGCACAACTTTTCATTTCTCTGGTTGTACATGATGTAGCGTTGCACCATATGTGCAGTCATACATGTACCTAGGGTAATAATGTCCATCACATTCCATCATCTTTCCTGCGGAAGGAGGGCTCTTAAGAGCTACTGTGACTGATGTCAACCCTGGTTTTGTTAGAATCACAAACAAGTGTTAGAAGATACTTACTTTTCTGGGTGGTCTGAATATTCCAACTGGACCCCACGTATTGGGAAGACTGGAGGTTGAACGGGCTCATTCTCTGGGAGAATCTTTGGCAGTGGAGAGGGGAGTGAAGGGATGATGGCCAATGTGTCTGTAATCTGGAGGAAAAGTATGTTTTTCCAGGAAGAAAACTCTCTTGGTCTGAGGTTCATAGCTCTTGGCATAAATAAGAATGTTGCAGGTGGTGAAAAAAGGACACTCCTCTTATGACAAAATGACCTTGGAAGGCAGCTTGCCACATTTATCATCACTCCACCACCATCATGTGAAGACAAGGCAGTATTAATAAACAGACCACATGGACTCTGGGCCAGCTAGATTTATGAGGTGTCATCTCTTCACTGGGGTGCACAATATTGGCAGCCCCACCCAACTTGCCTGCCCCATCTGTCTGGCATCTTGGCCACACACTCACCCTGCCATGGCTGGCATGCTGCTGGGATGGAGTCCTGGTAACAGTCCAACACAAGCTGGGAAAGTCAGGGTGTCTGCAGCTCATGGGGCCTCTTAAGATAAAGCAGGTCCCCTCACTTGAAAAAAAAATATAATGATATTGTGGTCATATAGGAGGGAATTGTCCTGTAGAGAAGTCAGTGATGGAATGTAGGATGGGGGAAAAAAGTTCTTGAGTAGGCTAGAACGCAAGGATCCAATGCACACCTGGAGCGTTTATTCTGAAGAGCACAGAAACCAATCACAGGGAGAGAGGGAAGGAAGAATATTGGGCACAGAGGGGGAAGGTGGGTGGACATGGTGGAAGGAGCATTTGGGAGTCCAGTCTAGTTGTAGATAAGATCATCAGTAAGTTTGAGATTGGAGAAAGAAGTGGTAAAGCTTTAAGGATGGAGGAGGTGTGAGCTAGTTATCTAGGAAAGTGGGGGAATTCAGACCTGGGGACTGAGGTGTGATTCTGAGCAGCTCCATGGACCCACTTGAAGCTAATGGTCATGAATTTAGCCTAGGTCAGTGGTATGGTTTGAATCTGTCCCCAAAAAAGCTTGTATTGGAATTCCATTTTAACAAGTATCAAAGTTAAAAGTACAAAAAAACATCTTCTACAGATATGGGATCTGGAAGCCCTATTGGATCTTTTTGTTCGTTTTGTTTTGCTTTTTATTTGCTCTATTTAGATATACATGACAGAACAGTGTATTTTGACATATTACACATACACAGAGTATAACTTAGGATCCCATTCTTGTGGTTGTACATGATGTGGAATTTTACTGGTGGTGTATTCATAAATGAACATAGGAATGTTATGTCTGATTCATTCTACTATCTATTCTATTTCCTTCTCCCTTCTTTCCCTTGATTCCCCTTCCAATTCTATTCTTCCTTCTACCCCTCCCCTTATTATGTGTTAGCATCCACATATCAGAGAGAACATTCAGCCTTTGGTTTGGGGGGATTGGCTTACTTCACTTAGCATGATATTCTCCAACTCCATCCATTTACCTGCAAATGCCATGATTTTATTGTATTTTAATTCAGAGTAATATTCCATTGTGTATATATATGCCACAGTTTCTTTATCCATTCTTCTATTGAAGAGCGTCTAGGTTGTTTCCACAGTTTAGCTATTGTGAGTTGAGCTGCTATAAACATGGATGTGGCTGCATCACTGTAGTATGCTGATTTTAAGTCCTTTGGGTATATACCAAGGAGTGGGATAACTGGGTCAAATGGTGGTTCTTAAGAAAAACCTATATCTTTAATGATAGCTTTCAGGTAGACCCACCCAATTCTAAATAAAACCTATAAAAGCAAAAAAAGAAAAAGAAAAAGAAAGAAAAAAGGAGGAGGAGGATAAGGAGGAACACTGAAAAATTTCTTGTGAGTTCAGTGTAGTCTTTATGGAGGAAAGTAAGGGGCCTGACCTTGTACTCCCAGTGATATTTCTCTAACTTTCTCCAGTGGCCCAGGTTTCAATCTCCAGCCTTAAGGATTTGTGTGTGAAGGGCACGTTTCATGTTTCCAAAGTATGGTGGAACCTATGAAGGGAGGGTCATTCTGCCTGTGCTAAGTGATAACCAATCTTGTTTTCATTTTAAAGTGATTTCTTCTGCTTAATTCCTTTCTCAAAGACTCTTTTCTCAATAACATATTTGCATTTTTCTTTTAATAGAACTTTTGACCAAGTTTGTTGTTTGGTCTTAGATATTTGTTCAATAGAACAGAAATACAAGTACTTTCAAACACCCATCTTACCAATTGACATAGAGAAACACTTTTCAAACTACATTTTCAAGGATTCATAGTCATTTCACCTGCCCTTGTGGCATTTTTCTGAATTGTAAGTAAAATGACATTCTGTTAATTAAGTTACAATTTTTAACTTATATTTTTAAGGTTTTTTTAAAGATTTACAACAGAAGCATATGCATTTTGAAAAATAATTTTAACTTGTCAGAATTATATAAATTGAGAATGTCACAACATTTTTTATATTTTCATATATTCCCCTCTTTAAGGCAGATTGATGATTATTCTTGCCAGCTCTTTCCTTTGCACACAAATATGTACTAAATTATCATACTCTTTATTAAAAGTGGGATCATACAATACATATTGTATAACCTGTAATTTAAAAAAAAAACTGTATATATTTTTACAGTTTATTTTACTGGAAATAAAGCATTATTTTAAATTGAAAAAAAAAAGTGTGTGTTGGAACCTTAATCTCCTATGCACCAAATCCTGGGATGTGGAGCCTAATGGAAGGTATTTAGGTCATGAAGGCTCCACTCTCACAGATGAGTTGATGGACATGGTGGGGCTCCTGTAATTCCAGCAACTTGGGAGGTTGAGGCAAGAGGATTGCAAGTTTGATGATAGCCTCAGTAATTCAGTGTGACTCTGTCTCAAAATAAAAAATAAAATGGGCTGAAGATGTAGCTCAGAAGTTAAGTGCCCCTGGGTTCAATCCCCAGTACCAAAAAAAAAAAAAAAAAGCAGTGGGGGTCACAGCTGTGATTTCAAGCTCTTACTTTCTTACTCTCTTGCCCTTCTGCCTTCCGCCATGAGACCATGCAGTATGAAAGCCCTTACCAGATGCTGGCAGCTTTATTTTGGACTTTGTAGCTATACTGTGTGAAATCAGTTTATTTTCTTTGTAAATTACTCAGACTATGGTATTCTGTTACAGCAGCACAAAACAGACTAAGACTATCAGTTAAACTGTTTCCGTATTTCTCTACCTAGGTTCAACTGTCTGGGTATGTGGCAGGAAGAGACAGAGAGTAGGAGATCATCAGGGTTGGGATTTTGCCATGCAAGATAGAAAGGGAAAGAGACAGGAGTTGAGAGTATATTCAAAGGAATAATTCTAACAATGTGCCAGAAGGTCTAGGCTGAGTAAAAGGGGACATGTGGATGTGTGCAGCAGGAGAAGTAAGGTAGAAAAGGTGATAGGACTGATGGACCATAAGTCCTGGTGAGGTCTGGATGCAAGGTGGAATAAGCTGGAAAGAAAGGAGGTAGTGATCAGAAAGTTTGGTGATTTCAGTTGATATTATGGAGGAAGTGCATTGGGATGTGGTCACCAGCAAAGTTAACTCAAGACTCAGAAGCCATTAATACAGACAGAGTATCTAGAAGGGAGGTGAATGCCCAATTCATTCTTCCCCTTTCAAATCATCCTGAATACCACATTTAAGTCTGACAAAGTACATCAAGGGTCATAAATTACCTAAAGCATCTTTGGAGAATCATAACAATGATTGTGCTCTATGTATATCAGAGTTCAGTACCAACTCCAGACATCTGAAAAACATTCTTTCAGAATAGTATTTCATTCAATTCTGTGTATCCAGCAAAGAAGAACCAACTGGTAAGATGCCAATAGAGGCTGTTTAAAGCACAAAAATAAATCAGAGCCATCTCACAATATACTGCCCTCTGTAAGAATGAGATCCCCATCACAGAGAAATTCCAGGATAGGATTCATGACTTACTGGTGATGATACTATAAGAATGAACTCAAGCATCAGATGCTTCTTAACATGCCTTCCCACCCCATTATTCTATTCTGACCTCATAAGAATCTGTGTGGCTGGCAACATGGGTATTATTATTACTGTTTTTATAGAAGAGAAAACTAAGACTCTGAGAGGCCACAGGGCCTGTCCCATGTCATCCAGTACCTAGTGGGACTGTGAGCTGAACACCGGTGTGCTGACTCAGAGTCCAGGCTGCTTTCCACATTCTGAATTACCTGAGAGAAGGGAATGAAATTGGTTTCACAGCCTGTTTTTAGTTTCCTGTTTCCAGGACTCCCACCTTATCTAATGAGTCAGTAGTCATTCCATGATTCCCCAAAGAGAAGTCCTGCTATGCATGTGAGAAGGTTAAACAAACTAGGATGTAAGAGACTCTTCAAAGGATCATGAAAATCAGTTCGCAGCTTTACACACTCACATGGGCGGCCCAGGGGTGCACTCCTGGGGAGGGCTGAGCATCAGCCATCAGGAATGTGTCTTTAAGCAGAAAAGATGAGGGTTGACAGGCGGGTGTTTTGACTTTCTGATAAGCTAAAGCAGATGTTCCTGTGGATACTGTAGGTGGGGAATGAGCTAGTCTCCCCAGGCACTACTTGGAAATATAGTAGCCCCAAGATGGAATGCCTGGCCTAAAAGGTGACTCAAAAGTCC